TGAAAAACGTAGAGAAATAATTTTTTTTTGTGATCGTTTCAAATTTTATCAATCGATTCAATTTTTTACTATAAGATTCCTTTTTAATAAAATTAATGAATGGTAAATCATTTTAAGGAAGAAGCATAATCGTTAAAAAATATTTGCAAAATACAAGAAAAAAAAATGCCGAATTTTTGATTATTTACAAATTAATACATTTTTTTACAATTAATTTTTTCTTACGACACAATCATAAAGAAAAAAAAAGCGAGAAAATGTAAAACATTCATAATCTACGACTTTAATTAAATATTTCAAATTTCTTAACATTCGACACCTAAAGACCGGTCCCATCATCTAACCATCCTGAATTCCCCAAACTTCCGGTTGGTAACAAGAAATCCAACCCATTATTTCCAAATTTCGTTCCATTATAGAAGCCATTTTCCAAGGGATTATTACCAGCTTGGGGAGTATCCATTTGAGCGACTCTATTATGTGTGTCGTCAATGTTTTGCCTTATATTTCGGTTTATCATATTAGCATGTTTTGCCAAATTTTCAAATTCTTGCCTTTGAGGATATGTAAGTGTTGAATTCCAGATAAACTTTGTTGCAGTATTAATTAAATTCGGATTATCATCTAGGCTTAAAATTTTCGCCTCGCTTTCAATATTCCATTTAAGTAATCCAATTCCGGTTAATAGCCAACCGTTTTTTTTTCTTGCGCGATCAGCAACTGTACGTGGATTTTCGTCTGAAATAGCGGAAATCTTACAATTGTTTCGAAGATTATATAATAAATTTTTTAGTTCAGATTCAAAATGCCCTCTAGAAGACATTTTGCTTATTATTTTATCTTATTCTTAATTAAAGGAGGAAAAACAATCTTTGTGTATAACTTTAGGTGGCGGTATAAATTTGAAAAAAATCATTTTGAGAGTTTATATATCTTAATTTAAGTTTGCGACAGTTATAATATAATTGGCAACATTGTAACAAAGAAAAAAAAAGGCATCATCTGTACTTGTTTTTAATATTGAAATT